GTGACACGGCACCAGAGTTAAGTTAGGGTTTTTCAAAATGCTGACACGCCGAGCTCAAAAGGTTCGCCATCACTGATTTAGATGGTAGTTTTGGATATTGATGAACAAATAATGGAGATATTTTTGACTAGCTGTTCAAAGAAATGATGGGCGCCAACAGTTTTAAGTTTAGAGAACAGGAGGATATTATATAGTAACTAGAGGCCCGATGCACAGAAATTCATGCAAGAGTAGGCCTTCCTTCCCCCAGCTGCCGGCACCAACTTCCCTCCGGCACCCGGACCCGGGCTGGCTTCCCTCCAGCCCCGGCTTTGTCAGGAAGGACGTCTGGAATGATGTCTGGTCTAATTTGTATATTACCCTTTTATTATTATAGATAGCAGTAAGCGAGTTGGGTAGGATATACTGGTAGTTTGAATAGTAAGGGAATCAGATAAGATATAGTTTGAATAATAACTACTTTGTATTTGGATGGTAGTTTTAATAGATGTTCTGTAGAAAATAGCACAGAAGGGGAAAAAACACCCCCACATGTAAGGGTTCAATGTGCAGATATGCAAGATTCAGTAGGTATGCTCCCTAAAGTTTGGGTATAGAGAGATGAGAGTGCAGAGAGTGCATTGAGTCTAAAGAAACATCTATAGTTATTTCATTCATTCAGCAAGTACTTATTGAGAGCCAAGTCTGTACCTTGCACACTGGTAGATGCTCTAGATACAGCAGTTTTCTCCCCTGGGAACTTCAAGTTCATCTGATATTTAACAAGAACATAGCAGGTTGGTGAGAAATGCAAATGAAGATAAAATATTAGAAAAACAAGAAGACAACTGCTCGTTCCCTTTTGTCACTCAAGGCTAAAGGAGAAATGTTTCAAAGATAATGCTTCAAGTATCAAATTTGAAATACTTAAAGTTGTAAAATAGAGAGTAGATGGAGAAGATATGGAACATAGTGCCTTTTATTGAAGTTGTAGAGTGAAGGAGAAGAAACGAATGTAATGATAATTGTAAGGCATTACCAAAGCTAGTAATGAAAAGATTGAAACGTGTCAGTTGCTGATTAGGGGATCTCCTTTATAGAAATGAGTAATCAATAATTATTAAATGAGATAATTTCATCAGAGTGTCATGTTTCTTATTAAGAAATATCCATGCAAGACCTTTTTAGTTTGAGTAAGCTGAGTAACTTACGTTCATAGGTGTATATTGACAAATGGCATTGTTTTCACTGAGGTAGTTTTTAAAATAAAAGAAAATAAACAAATAATGTTCTGAATAGAATCTTTCAAGTTCATGGCTTTTTATTAGTGTTACACTGAGATAGCCTCCTTTAAAAGTAGATTCAGAATAAAATGTGTCCACCTAATTAACCCTCCTTACTAACATGCATCCCCATATACTTACAATCTTCATCATTTCCTACTTACTCTTTCTATGTATTTTCTGCTCTCTTGCCTAAAAACCATTGGCAAAGTAATTTAGCTATTTTTTCTAATAATAGGATCACAAAATTTCAGATGCCTCCTTTCTCTTGAGTTAGAGTATTAAGAAGAAAACAATGTTAAATTAGTGGTTCAACTCTAAACTTGTACTTCATGAAAGCAAATAGTCTCATTCTTTGAGTGCAGTGATCTTCATTACAGACCAATTCTATTCCTTGTCCCACTAACTTTCTGCTTTAGAAACAACTCCGTAAACAGATTTCAGGTTCACTGGGAATCATTGATGTTCTACAGAACACATTTGAGATGCAATACTTTAAGAAGACATGTAATAGACCTTGAGATTACCATAGTGAATTGTGCTCTGCCACAAACTGTTTTTGGAAGGTTAACATTAATAACTTTACCAAATAGGCACAATTCATATATGTGAAAATTACTTCAATTTTTTCTAAAATGTTTTATTAAAAACATTATGGTGTTTGAATGTAAAAATTGAATTCTCTGCTTTTGATCAGAGACTTGTTTGTGCAACTTTTTGTTTAAATTGGATTAGTACCATGTTAATTTTACATTGTCTCTGGTGAATAGCCACGGGACTATAATCTCTGCCAGTAATTTGTCACAGCAAAATCCTCTGGAGGGCCATACAAAACATTTGTGTAGAACGGATTAGACAGCAAAAGCCATATCTTAGATTGTTAATAAATGTTAATGACAAAACCCAGCTGGTAAAGCTTGGAAATAAGATCTAATGCTTAGTGCCTACTGCCAAAAAAATGTTTAAACAGAGATTTCCATTACTCAGAGGTGATCTAGTGTAGTCAATCTGTGAATTAAAAAATCATAATCTTCTAATTATTTAGAAAAAATATATTTCCTTCAGATTCACAACCTAAAAGTCTGTGTTTCCAAGTTGTAAAAAAAATTTTTTTTAGTAAATGGGTAAGTGACAGCTGTAAAATATAAGTAAATGTTACATAAAATGGTTCATAACTTAGAAAACAAAGTGATACCCATACATTCTGGATTTGATACCTCTGGTATACTGTGTAACACTGACTCTAAGAAGTTCTAGTTGTGAGATATTTAAGCGGTAACTTAGTTTTCTTTTTTCTGCCACCTCCATGAAGATATAGTACAGAAATATTTTTAAACCAAAACAAATACTTAAATTGTACTAAAAATATTCAAATTAAGATTAACCTTTTACTCCTTGGGTACAGGACTAAGAACTAAGATTTTGGGTAAGATGTGGGTCCCTTACCATATTTGTGCACAGTAGATCTGTTTAAAACTAAGCTGATATATTTAGTTAAAACAACACAGACTTCATTGGCTGACATCAGCACTATCTTGTCCAGCCTCCTGCTTATCCACTCAGAGTAATTAATTTGATTAATTTATAAGTAATTTAGCCAAGGATAGGATGTAAATCTTTGTTTAAGAAAAACAGTTGGAGGTCCAAGTCTTGGTTAAAAACTGTGTCTTGAAACCATCCAGGCCCTCCTCCTGACTTGTCAGCTCTGGGTTATTTTCAGAAAACTTTACTTGAGTTCCTTAGTTTAGTTGTAAGCTTTTTTCCCACA